GGAAGGAAGCTTTTCGAGCTGGCTCCGTTCTGGTGAAAACACAGGAGGAGCTGAAAAACGCAAGAAACGAAGCAAAAGGATACAAAGACGAGGCCCAGGCAGAGCGAGCAGCAAAAGAACAAGCGAAACAGGAGGCTTTCGAACGCGCTTATGCTATTGCTGGTCTCACGGAGGAGATGGAGGTCCTTAAAGAACAGCTACGGGCCGCCGAGGCCAACAGCCACTCGCAGAAGATCGAAGCGCAAGCGCAGCAGAAGAAGAACGACATTGGACGAATGTCGCTGACTGAAGGCGATCTCAATCTCCTGTTGACACCTACCCCTCGGAGACCCAAACGTTCTGCTGAGGAAATAGCCAACCCGCCTCAAGCCAATGTCGCTGAATCTTCACCGGTCAAGGATACACCTCCCAAGAGGCAAAGGATGTCAGATGTAACTCCTAGTAAGGAGGCCGCGGAGATCACGACACTCCATGTACATGAGGAACAAATCGCTGAGTTGGAGGAGACCCTCAGGCGCGAGCGTCAACTCAGAGTTGACGCCGAGGGAATGCTTGAATTCTTGCGCCTGGAGTGCCATTTTAAACGTTGCACTTGCCGCTTGGCAGAGCAGAAAAGCGTTCCTCATACCCATGAACCGCAAAGCGTGGCTACGACGAAAAAGGATGAGCTGGAACACCCAAAACATCGCAAAAATGACCAGAACGCACTTGCTGCACCAGAGGAGCCAAGTCCGTCTCATACTCCTAAAGGCGAGCCTAGATATGTGACAAGTGTCAAGGAACAAATACTGATGGAGGATCCTGCCGGAGAAGAAGCAGCCGAGCGCGAGCTGGCCGGGGATGATGTCGATGAAGATGTGGATGAAATCGTTGAAGAGGTCGAGGAGATCCAGGATGTTGACGATGACGACGACGATGAGCCTCCAGAGGAACCTTTGATAACATTCTCACCTGCCACTGGGACCTTCCACACCTTCCCTTCTCCATTACGAGGATCTCCCCGAAAGGCCAACGAGGCTACTGCAAACGATCATCAGTCACCAACAGCCTACGCTGAACACGGAATAGACGCCCGTGTGATGTCTGGTAGCCCTGCCCCGAAGTATGGGTCTTTTCAGCGCCAGGCTCCGTTTGATTCTATAACGGATCGTGAAGCTACTCCGAAAGGCCACCCCTCGCCAGCGGTTGTTGATGTGCCATGGGATCCTGTGATGCCCATTGGACATGAAGCCGGCACCCCTGAGAGGCACAATGACCCAACGAAGGTTCCTCTGCGCGATGATGGGGGATCAAATCGCTTTTCCGACGTTCCTGGGACCCCCATCAGCCGAGAAGAAGCACTGGCTCAGATTAGAGCGCGGAGAGAGAGAGCAAACACCATGAAGAGGTCTGTCAGTGCCAGTGAAAGCGGGCTTCGCTCGGGAGGCATGGGAGTTACTCCTGTCCGGAGCGCTCGACGGTACCCTGGCGTCCAGAATCCAGATGCAAGCGACGGTTCCATCAGAAGTCGGAGGGATATGAGCGCTCCTATCCAAATGTCCCACTACTGAAACCGCCGTCTCGTCACTGGCTGAACATGACAGCCAGGTTCAATGCGCTTGACTCAACGATCCAAAACCATCTCTCATTCCTCATATTCTTGGTTAATGACTCAACTCTCTCTTGATACCCTGGTCCTCCAAGCGAAATGGCGTTTTTTTTATTTTTTTCTCTTTTTGGATGTTGAGTTTCGTTGTGGCATCAATGGTGCTCTCTTGTATCCACTTCATGTTATGCCTGTTGCGAAAAGCTACGACCGTTACTTATTTCCCTCTTGCATATACCAAGAGGTTGATTTCTCCCACTTGAATGCTTTGTTAATTTGGTCCATTCTATCATCTATCCCGACTCCATGGCAAATGAGCATCGCTTATCAGCCTTGACATTCTCTTAGATCATTTTCTACTCTCCTTTGTCTATTTGAATTTTTTTTATTCTTCTTGCTTGGTGATCCCAACCTTTTTTTGTATATAGGTTGATTTCTACGATGCCTGACTGGTGGGTTTCAAGATGCTGTTTGGATGAAGACTAGAACTCTTATGATATTGACATGACAATTTCAATGTGAACTCGCCATTCTTATGAAAGTCATTTGGGTAGTAGTAGCACTATTAGCCTAGCATGAGCATTCCTAGAGATGGACTAGACGGTCTATCAATGCTAATACCGGGCCGTATATACTTTCATGCGTACACATAGTGCCAGACAAGACGATCTCGAAATATAGAATAAAGGAACGAACAAGAAGTAGGATGCACCCCAGTATTGCAGCTCAACCAGCACATACACTGTTTATATGATGGAAATACCGCAACATCTGATCCTCGCACTGTCCACACGTGCCTTCCGACCCCACCACAGGTAAACCAGTTCCTCGACAAACAGACGGTCAGCTGTACTCCAGATATCCAGGCCCATCTCGGTCAGATCTTCAGAAGTGATCTTTACTGGGTCGCTATCGTCATAGGAGGCTCTTGTGTCGCGCGTGCCAGTCTCTGTCTGTTGTTGTAGCAATGGAGATCTGGAATCGTCTTCTTGGGTGGATTGTCGGCCAATGGTAAGGGAAGGGCCGGGACCTTCATCGTCTTCTGGATCGTCTTCGTAAGGAATGGTGTCCTCTTCGGGTATCTCTTCGTCGTCATCTTCATCGTCATCGGGGGAATTGCGGCTATCGTGCCGGGCAACTACGTCAGATAGAGTGATGAAGATTTGGGCTGTGAGGCGACGGAAGTACGCGACTAGGGCGATTTCAGGCGGCTGGGTCGACTCCTGCGTTTGAATGCTTCGACGGCCGAGAGATCCAGAGGGTGGGCTGGGAAGAGTTTCTACACTGGCTAGCAGGCGCGTGTCCTGTTCCATTTGGTGCTCTTCTTCCTCTTCTTCGGAGAGACCGTCGCGCTTCTCGCCGGCTGATGCCCACCATATGAAGGAGGTGTATGCCAAGCGTGTCCATGAGAGAGGTTCGACAATGGGACTGGATGAGTACGTCGAAGCTGCGTCCGAGTCGTCGTCGGCTTCAGTGGATGCTGCTTCTTCTTCTTGGGTTACGTGTCGAAGACCCTTACGAAGGGTAGCGTAACGTCGTGCGTCGCGCTGGGTTGCTCTGACTTCGATGGATTGGGGTGTCTTGCCCTTTGGCGGTTGCGTATGAAAGATGGCAATAGTAGGAAATACCTTCTCTGCGGCGTTCTTGGAGTGAGCGGGAGGTAAGGTGACGAGAACATCGAAGAGCTCAGGCTTCATGGTCAAAACGCTGTCTGTGCTGCATGCAATCCAGGCTGCGTCATGCTCTGCATTGACCGAAGTGCCCACAAAAGACGAGAGGTGAGGAATATCATGAATGCCGACGTTGAACAATGGGCGAGGTCGCGGAGAGGGTAAACCGTTTTGCGGCAGTAAAGGAAGGAGCGAATTAGGTAAGGAGGCCAATAAAGAAAGATCGTACACTGTTTGACTGTAAGCATGGGTGAGTGATACTGGATAGCAATCATACCATAGCTACAGGGCTCTTGAACTGGCGCTTCGGCCATGAAAAGGATCCTTTTGCGCAGCAGTGCTGCTCTGTACAGAGGAAATAGGAGAGGACCGAAGGAATCTAGAAAATTAGGGAGCGAGGAGGCTGGGTGGAAGGGCGTCAGGGCCGGCCTGGGCGTTTCCAACACAATTGCATCACTGAAAGCGCGGGTTCGATGGACGGCATCTCTTAGATCACCATGGGCCCGCAGCCGGAGACTGAGAGGAGATTCCATGGGGGAATCGGGTGGCATAGTGGAAGAATCACTTTCACGGATCTCGTAATTATCCCAGTACTCTGTTAAAGGTTGCGTATTGGACATATCCTCGGCATAGTTCCTGGAAGCGATCATGAAAGCGTCAACGGCCGGATCAAAAGGACAGCGCATGGCCGATTTCAACTTACGCCGCCAGTTCTTTGAGCTTGGGAGCATGTCTCCAGCTTTTCCCCAATCTTCCGGAGCTTAATGGGACGAGAACCCCAATAGCAAACATCTTTGCATTTCGCTCCGCTTCCTCAGCCGGCCAATTGACAAACGCGCTGATGCCAGCATATTGCTCGTGGACGAAGTATCTGGCAAGACCGAGCTGTTAGCAAGCATTCATGACCGGACGAAGCCGTAGCATACGTACACCAGATCTTCCGAGACATTGTGTAGACCAGATGGAAGCGACTTGTACTCCACAGCTCCTTCAACTTCAACTATATGATCGGCTGGGTTAGGCGACGCTATCACGGGGAGGACCGTTGAAGCAGCAGGGTACTACTTACCCCCGGGAACAGTACGCTTCCACGATATCACGTATCTGCATTCCGGAAGAGCCGTCAGTAATCATATTTATTTGCGCGGGTTGCTGTTAAGACAGACTTGGAATTCCTCACCCGGCCTTGATATCGAAACGAATGACGAAGAGGGCCGCAATGCCAGGCGGCGACTCGACGACCGTAGCGGGGCGGGGCACGTCAAGCCCCAGGGGCTTGCGTCTAAAAGGACCAGGTGCCATTGCCGGAGAGCGCGTAATCAGCGAAGGTGACCGACCCCATGGAATGAGTGAGAGGAGCAGAATCACGGAGATGGCGACATCGGACGATACAAGCTGGCGTCGGTCAAACAGTTAGCGGACCTTTGGGGGGGAGAGTTGCGGAGAAGCTGTCGTTGCCTGAGGACGTCAATCCCGCTAGCTCCATCAGGTTAGTCCCGTGCGGATCAGCTGAATGAGTTGCAATTGCTATTCAACAGCTGCTCCATCATGATATCCAATTGTTCACAGAAAGAGAGCAAAAGGAGACGATTTGAAAAGAAATTCAGCCAGTGGTACTCGCTTGAGAACATTGGCTCCCCGATCCAGTCGCTTGGGTAGGTCTGGTTAGTTAGTACTGTACTCTCTTTACCGAATTGGGAAAAACCAATTGAGCATCCCACTATACTTTACTCCGACCGACTACTGGAGCCATACATAAGTGAGAGACCTCTTCCTGTTCGAGCCTCTGTCATTTCCAACCATCGACCGCTCAATCGAAAGTCTCAACACAATGACTACCATGGATCCCAAAGATCAACTCCATCCCTACTACCCCCTCAATGCTCAAATCCGTGGTTATGCTCCCAACGAGGCTTCCTTACTCAGTATCCTCAGTACTGCTAGCGTGGGCGCGGCAGCTTTACTGGGAATTATTTTCACCCTGACCAGTAGACTTCGACCAACGCTAAAGAATGCCGACCGTCTTGCTATCCTGTGGTTTGCTCTCTGTAAGTCGAACTCCTTAGTTACATACTGCTCCAACAGCGAGACAACAATCCTCGATGCTAATTGCAGTGTGAACTCCCAGCGGGTACGATCCACTGCTTCTTCGAGGGTTATTTCATGATCAACCATGCTCGTATGGCATCCGCGCAGGACTTCTTCGGTCAGCTATGGAAGGAATATGCCCTGTCGGATTCGCGATACATGACCTCAGATACCCTCGTCTTATGCATGGAGACTATCACGGTCGTAGGTGCGCCCGTGGCTGCAGGGACCCCTGCTCATTGTCCTCCTTAGCTCCGTCTGCGACACCGTTGCTAAAATACTGGAATAGCTTCTTTGGGGCCCGCTCTGTTTTCTGGTTGCATACTTGACCCTTTCTCAGCATCCTCTGCGCCATCCATTGCAGATCATCGTGTGCATGAGCCACCTCTATGGCGATGCTCTGTACTATGCGACCAGCTTGTTCGATCACTACGTTCATGACCGACCGTACTGCCGCCCGGAGCCTTACTACTTTTGGGTGTACTATTTCCTCATGAATTTCATCTGGATTGTGGTTCCATTCTGTACGTTCCAGTCTCACGGCTCCCTTGCTTGTTTCCCACTCGTTTTGAGCTGACAATGGACCTAGACTATCTCTACCGGAGTATCCGGACAATAACTGAGGCTCTTAGAGTCGTGGAAAATACTTCCAAACAGCGCAAGGACTGATAAGAGAGACGTACAGTGAGCAATGATGTCACCCGTTTATAAACGGAACAGCATCTAGATGAGGGGTAGTGCTGGCTAACGCAGACCAAGGGCCTTGACCTTTCCCTGACCATGCATGCGTTTAATCTCAAGAGGGCATTCCCGCATGAGATGATCTTTGCTTCGGCCGGAACAGCCCTCTCTTGTTGAGTCTCCAATCAACAGCACCCGAGTGGGAAAAAGCAATCCGCATAGCCCAGTGCATGACAACGCACTCGAATTATCAATAAATCAGGTAGAATACTTTTCCCTTTTTAGCCCACTCTGTGACGCGTAGCCCCCGGTGGATCGGTTTAGGCATTCCTGCTCTTCCGGCAAACAGAAGGTATAGCTCCGAAAAACACGTTAATTACACCGGAATGAACGTCTTACGGCTACTGTTCCGCAGTGCAATATGACTGCTCTATTTATCGGAGTTCAAACAGAAAAAGTTGAGGAACTTTCAAACGACCACGACATTGGGCGGCCAGGGTGGTGACAGGGTGCGAGGCATGGGATGCAGAGGCCGCAAAGTCAGGTGGGGATTGAGGGCCCATGTGCATCTCATCAGCCAGCAGCTATGACCATGACCGTGCAGGGTAAGCTGGAGTAAAGAAAAGAAAAAGAAGGGAAGGGATGGATAGATAAATAGAGGGGGGCATTTCCCTACAAGTCTGGAATCTTGGATGGATGTACCTGATCCATTCGATTCCACTTGAGAGAAAAGGGAGGGTCGAACCACCGGTCGCGGAATGAATAATTGAGCTCTGAACGGTCGAGCCCAAGAGCAGCAGCAAATCATCATTTCTGGCGGAATGCGGTTGGCTGGTGCAATCTAAACTTGGGCGCCAGATCTGTGACGAACGGGGCATTCTGGCCATGGAATTGGTTGGGGCCCAGTGAGTGGCGCAGAGTTCAAGCTGGTTTCCCGGGCAGCCTTTCTGCCAAACCCAGAGAGGGCCGAAGTGTGTTCTTGTCCGTCTGTTGTCCGTCCCGCAGTTCCAGCGAAGTATAGGGACCACCAGAACCAGACACAATTGGATCAACACTCTGATGTGTTGTGTTGTTATTGTTGTGCATCCAGGCTGGCCTTGTGGATTATTGTTCTTGAAAGAGCCTCTTCAAACTCTTGGAAAGGAATGAGGGCTTCTGGAGACATCCAAATTAGCAACTGATTGTCCCCCCGCGCCAGCTACTCGACACTCTAAACCAGCGGCGTGTGTACTAGACTAGTGAAGCTGCGCTGCCTACGTCCGGTCTCCATTCTGCACTTGACCGCCTATTCTCGCTCAATTCCTTGCTTGTCCTTGACTTTCGCGTTGCATATTCTGTCTTGGATTCGTATTTTGCTTTTGTGGTGTCCCAATTCATTGCTCTCTCCCCAGCGGAACCGCTACCTTGTGGTTGTTAACCAGGGTATGTGCTGTCGGTGTCTCGACCTCGAGTGAGCTTCCCCTCCCATAAACAAACAACTGGTGACGTCGGTGGGTGGATTTCCCTATCTTTCTTTGTTCACACTACCCTTCCAAAAAAAAAAAAAAAATAAAAAAACATGTCAGCTCTGCGATCGCATCTATCCGCTGATTCCGTCTGACATCTCGATCAACCTCCGCGACCTCAATTTCACTGCTAATGCCTGGTTCCGGTCGCAGATTTCCATGCCGACTCCTGCCAACCCGCAGCGCCCCTCCAACCGTGGGGGAGGCACCAGAACATCCCCGACCAAGAAACCGCTCGACATTGGAGTACCCCTGGGCATTTACGATACAAATTCAGTGCGAGCAAAGGTTCGCAAGTGGCAGCAGCAGGGGGGCGGGGTAATCACAGCCAATGATGGGGTTTGCTACGACGACGACGAGGAGAATTCAACAGCCGATACCAACCCCAAAGTTGTCGAAGATAAGGGATCCGGTAGTTCCAATGGCTCCGGAACGAGGAAACGCAGCAAAAGCACGCCTCGCAAACGAGTTATTAGTGATGAGCATTGGAAGCTGAACCGAACCCCTACCCAAACGCCTTCTTCCAGGCTCCCTCCGCCAAAACGCATTGCCGAGTATACCACAAATGACCGTCTACGTTCTCCGCAGGGTGATGAGGCGGAAGGTGCGCGGGAGGATACAATATTGCCCTCTCCGTCCCGCAACAAGGAAAGGGGCAGGGCTGCTATAGCATCCGACCTCGCGACAAGAGAACGGAGAAAATCGAGGGCATCTCGAGATGTCGATACAATACCCGAGGACAAGGCCGAGGAGGAGAGTGCGTCTCACAATGGTTCTTCCAAGTCCATTTCGCGACCTGCAACCGCCGACAAAACCCATGTACGTGCACGGTCGGAGCTGTCGCAGAGTGCAAAGACAAGGGACGGAGGACTGTACGAAGACTCCGAGTGGGCGACAAGCGAGGCCGACTTCTCAGAACTCTCCAGGCGACGTGCGCGAGGCCCCAATCCAGTACCCCGGGGTGCTGCACCTAGAGGCCGGGGAACGGTGAAGCCCCCCAAAGGCGGCATATTCTCCCATATGCTCGATGAATCAAAGAAGATGTTCGCTAAACCGGAACCTCCGAAACCTAACCGAGGCGCTAAAATAGAAGCATGGCTTTCAGAGACGCCCGACCCGTTCGTGGAGGACATGGAGCCCGATGTCGAGATACCCGCACCATTAAACACTAGAACCGGCAAGAAGAAGGATGCCGTGAAACAAGAGGATGTGCCGAAGGACAAGAGCGATACTGAGCCTCCCCTTGCGAGCGAAACATCGAAGAAGGATGCTCCGCCAGCGCAGAGGAAAGAAGGCCCAACTACAAGCGAACAATCAAAGACAGCTGAACAGAAAGCAGAGCCCAAGAAGGACAGCGCTACTTCGGACAAACACAAGTCACCTATAGAACGTGAGGAGAAACCGCGGTCATCCGGCGCCGATAAGCTACCCGTTGGCAAACGACCCCGTGCCAACAACGATAATGCATCAGAGACTGAGTCCCAACAGTTGTCAGAGGGTTCCGAAGTGTCTGCGAATAATGCACCGGTGCCCCTTGGTCGTCGAAAGCCATTTCCCACGACAGGGGCCCATCCCCTCTCGACAATCGCGTCTGTTGAATCTATGAGCACAACGAAGAATGCTACAGGATCAGGACAGGATGCCGCATCGGAAAAACGGGAGGCAGAGTCCACCCAGGCAAAGCTCGATGAGGAGGAGAAAAGGGACCAATTTGACCCCAACTCACTTCCTGCAATATCCTCCCAGTTAAAGAGGCGCCTCACTACTCATGATGACTTGATATCGGTCCTATCTGCTCCAAGTGGCCGGAGTAGAAGCCTTCGGTCTGCCAGAAGTCTGAAAACGAAGAGTCGCATCACTACAGAAAACATTCCTGACCTTTTAAAGGAGTTGGCTGCTGACGAGGTAAAATACATGCGTGAGCTTAAGACCTTGGTCGGTGGTGTTATTCCAGTCCTCTTGACATGTGTGCTATCAAAGTCCGATTCTGCCATTGCGGCTGGACTCTTTCGACCTTCTGCCGATCCAAAGGATGAGGTGAATTTCAGCAAGCCCATAGTTGACATGGGAGTTGCTATTGAGCGACTGAAGACGCTGCACAAGCGCATTCCGCAGGATGATGTGGAAGCTCTACTTACCTGGGCGAATGGGGCACAGAGAGTGTATCGCGAATACCTCAAAGCTTGGAGACTGGGGTTTAAAGACGTCATTGTCAACCTTGCGCCTCTTGAAGAAGGCGAGGCAGGCGACAATACTGACACAAAGAGTCTGGATGAGGGCATGGCAAGGGATGAGAACGGCGATGTGGTGGATAGTGATGGTGAGAAGGTTGACGTGGCTTACCTTCTAAAGCGACCTCTCGTACGCCTGAAATACCTCGCAAAGACCTTCAAAGGAATCAAGACCATTCAGCCATCTCCCAAGGCCGAGGATGTTGCTGCGGTGTATCAGAGCCTTGTGACAGACGCCCGCCGCCGGGCGCGCGAGGAGAGAGCTAGGCTTGAGGATGAATCTGCTGCCAACGTTGACGCTACGCGTGCCAGAGATCCTGCCACCCTGGGTGCACTTCCTGGAGTTACTGTTGACAGAAGCCGAAGAGTCCGGGCCCGCGATTTCTTCAATCTTTCCTTGTACCACACAACTGGCCAGATCATTGACTGCCGCGCAGAGCTCCTCTTAAGAGACGGAGTTGCTGGGAATAAGGCAGGCGGAGATCTACTAATCTGCGAAATTGATCATACAGATCGTTGGTTGCTATTCCCTCCCATCGAGGTTGGCCGTGTCTCTGCTCGCAACGGCGACGTGAAGGGCGAGATCGTGGTCATGCTACGCAGTGGCCCGAACCATACCAAATCCTGGCAAGAACTGCTTGTGCTTCAAATTGATGAAGAGGATATTGGATTTGAATGGGTTCAGATGCTGGGCTCGAATCCTCTCCCACCGGCTATCTGTAGAACCCAGAGCTTCATTGACAGGACCAAGCGCCAACGAGCAAAAACCATATCCTCAGCCAACGAAGCCTCTCAGGCACAAAAAGCCCCACCAAGTCCTTCAAATGTCAATGTTCCTATCGGAGAGAAGCCTACTTCTCGTACCTTGCGTCGATCCTTGACCCCTAAGGACCATCTTTCAGACCCAAGTACCGTGAGCTCCTGGATCAGTGAGGCCCGTACTTCACTGCAAAGTGCAGTAACTCCAGAATCGGACTATGCTATTGGTGATGAGTTATCGATCAAGTCCCCGCCTCCGCAATCTATATTGCATGCCAGGGAACCCCGAAAAAGCTTCACGGCCGATGATAGACCTTCCCCCGCCCTCAAACGGACAAAGGCCAAGAGGGTCAACAGAAATGGAGAGATCATTCCTTCTAGCCCTACCACACCAACAGACTCAAGCTTGGATCGAGGAGTCCATCCAGTCCACGAGGAAGCCAAACGCTCAGAAGAGAAGAAACCCAAGCAGCAGCAGCAGCAGAACCCGAAAACTCCAACGAAGAGTACCCCTGAACAGAGTTCTCCCCGAGTGTCTTCCGTGCCGTCAATGGATCTTCCTCTAATCCCGAAACTCAGAAAGGGCAGCAGTCAGACATACATCTCGGACTCTTTGGCGTCCACCGAGGACGACGATTTTCCTCCTGTGGAATATGATGACGTCCCCGAAACTCCTAGCAAGCACAAGAATCATTCTCGCCAGCACTCGGGATCGGACCAGGTTGACGAAGATGAGTCCCCTCCACCTCCGCCGACTCATTCTCGGTCACCGAGTTCCATTGGCTCCAGCCTACCAAATACCCCTGTGCTTAGCCCTAGTGGTGTGCGGACTAGACGCCGTGGCTCCTCGCCCCTAAAGCATGAATATGAACCGTCTACTGCTTCGGATTCGTACTCAGATTCTGATACATCCACTGTGCGTCGATATGAAGTGCATTCGGGCTCCGAGTATTCGGACACGGACAGCTCGGATGAGTCAGGGGATGAGCACGCATCACTGCCACCGTTCGAAGCTCCTACCAAGCCAAAGGCCCAGGCTCCAGAAACCACGTCCGCTAGTAGCTCTCTGTCACTGTCCAACTCGGCCTCTCAGGGCGGATATAGATCCGTTCCTTCGCAACCGAGCAAGTCGTCCACAGTGATTGCATCGGTCTTCGCCTGGTCAGAGAAGGGCTCATGGGATAGCATCTTCCCCGATGATTGCAAGGTCATAGTCAGTCCTGGGCTCATCGAAGCATATGACGTGGGTAATGCACCAGCCGGGAAGGAGGAAGATGACAGCAACACGAAGAAAGCACGCCCGCTGATTGCCCTTGAGCTCACACCCCTTGTGCCTATCCGTCGCGGCACAGCCATTGACATAAGTATTCGCTCCCCTCCGACCAAAAGGTCCAAGATCAATTGGAGCAACAACATCATGTTTCGATCTCGAAACGCCGACGATTGCGAATTCCTATACGGCCTCATCAACCAAGCGCGTATCAACAACCCAACCTACATAGCCCTACAGAATGCCCGAGGACCTCACGCAGAGCAGCCAGCGCCCGTGGAATCACCAACGAAGAATGGTGGGTTGTTCGGCTGGCCACGACGCAGGCGAAGCTACCGTGCATCTATTTCCCCACGGTCGGTTGCCGACCACTCTGAGAGTAGCGTAGGAACTATGAGCAGTGCATTCTCAGCACTGAAGCGGTTCGGAGGGGGAAGCAAGATGTTTAACATCTCTCGTTCCTCGCTTACCTCTCGCGATGGGCAGAATGAAGACAGCTTGTACTCAAGCTCCATTGGTTCCGGATCGAATGCCTCTCCCTCATCCGGCATTGGTCGTATCGCAGCCGCCATCAAAGGTAGTGATGGTATTGGTCTGTCCAACGCCAAGATTCGACTTTACTTGCGTGAAACTCAATCCAAGTGGCGCGATATGGGTGCTGCAAGACTAACGATTATGCCTGCGCCCTCAGCACCTCGTGCTCCTGATACGGCCAGTGGGCGCGGAGATGCCAGCAGCGTTGCAGAAGGAGCCGAAGATACTTCCCCAGCATCTGGATCCGGTTCTCCCCGACGCGGAGCGGAGCCCGAGAAACGCATTCTTGTCCGAGGCAAGACTCGCGGCGAGGTCCTCCTTGACGTCTGCCTAGGCGAAAGCTCTTTCGAGCGTGTTGCTCGAACCGGTATCGCCGTGTCCGTCTGGGAGGAAAACGAAGGCGGAGCTATGCCCAAGAAGGGCGGTGTTACTGTCGGTAGCTCCAAGATCTATATGATCCAGATGAAGAGTGAAGCCGAAGCAGCATACACCTTCGGACTTGTCGGGAAGCCCAAATACTAAACTGATGTCTTCGTCAGGACATGATATCTAACCCCGGATACTCATTCTAACCATCTTTCTCAATTCTCGAACATTTCCCCTCTTTCGTGCATTTGACTTTTTTTAGCGATGTTCTTATATTGTACTGCAGGTGTTATTGTTATTGTTTCATGTGCATATTCATACCCCCTCTTGCTGATGTTTATTTCTCTCATTACTTTTCCTTTTTTTATCTTTCATTTTCCCATATTTCCCCCTTTGCAAGCCCTTCCCCCCTTTTCACGATTTTTAGATGCCCATGTGTATATGAACCGGAAGATGAACTGCGAATGTGCGATGCAAAACTTAGAGTCTGATGAAATCCTATACCGAACTTCACTCCCATTGAACTATTACTCAAGTCACATTAATGTTTCATTATATTTGTTTTTCTAAGCCTCACTGATTCATTCCTCTTCACCAGACTCGCTCAGCTTCAAGCCGGCACTGTAATAACATAGTATTTCATAATTTCAATATTATTACACTAAATCTAGACTCCGTATATCCGTGCAAACACAAGACTGTATTATCAGTGAATGAGAACAGGAATCCCAATTGCATACTTCTATATACACAATACACTAAGATCCACCTAACCCATGCATGCATCTATTCGTATAACTATACTATATGTATGTCGGTATGTATGCGCCTCTATGTGTATATGTGTATGTGTACGTAGGAAGTCGATATATGAATCAATCCGAATCCGGAATAACCACAACCGAAGAAGACGCCAGAGTCCCGTCCTTGCCATCTTCTTTCGTCTTAGGCTCAGGCTCAGGCTCAGCTGCTGCTGCTGTACTGGCCTTCTTGAAGACGTATTCGATTCTATTACCGTCCTCGTCTTTGAGCAAAGAAAGGAGCACATCGTCGTCGATGGTTGATTCGAGTTGTTCAGCGGTATCTGTATCGGTGGCGGTGAGATGGACGGGGTCGATGTGACAGTATTGTGATAGGGATTGCTGGATTCGGTTCTTTTGTTGATTCGCGGGTTCGGTGTTGTTGTTGTCATCTTCATCTTCGTCTTCATAGTCATCCTCATTTTTAGACCTCCCCGCCCTCGACCTGCGAGTTGTGGGTCGGGATCTGGTTCTGGATCGGATCAGACGCTCTTGCTTTTCCATGTCTACTTGAGAGGCTTTAATGAGGGTAGGAAGATCGGGGAAGTCTTCGAGGGAGCTCGAGGATGAGTGATCGTCTTCCTCGTCTTCGTTCTCAGTCGCTGTTGGTGGGACAATTTGTCCGTTACCTCCACAGTCACAGCCTAATAACTCGTGTGTTTGGCACTTGCTTTCTTCGTCCAGACGGAACAGGTCTTTGAGTTCGTCCCGCGAAAACTGAGCCACGCTGTCCCTCTTCTCCATGACGCTGTCGGCAAGCCCGATTTTGGTTACTTGACGCTGCCAGATCTTCTCTTCGAGGCTGCCCTTGAGGAGGATGCGGTATATTCGGCAGTGACGCTTTTGGCCATCACGATGAATACGTGCCATGGCTTGGATGTCGGTGGCGGGATTCCAGTCCACGTCGAATAAGACGAGCCGACTGGCACCTATGAGGTTTAGCCCGGTACCTCCAGCTTTTGCGGACAGGAGGAAGGCGAAGCAGAGGTTCGATGGGAGGCGATTGAAGTCCTCCACCAGTGATTGTCGTTTCTGCGCGGGGGTGGAGCCATCTAGGCGGAGAAAGGGGAGGGAGAGAGACGTGAGTAGGTTTGCTAGTAGATTCAAGGTAGAAGTGTAGTTGGAGACAAGGACTATTTTCTCCGAGGTTTTGGTGCGTAGACCATCGAGTAGCTGATCCAGGACACGGAGTTTGGCACTTGATGAGGGAGTGAAGTGGCGTAGGAGGTTCGGTGGTAAAGATGATAAGAGAGCGGCGATGGTCTCGCTGGGCTTCTCATTCACATCTCTGGGCGTAAGCAGAGATGGGCTATTGCAGAGCTTTTTGAGGATAGTGATAAGTTGGAGAGCACTCTCCGAGTTTCCGAGGGCGCTTTGAAAGACTGGGGAGGCGAGGACGTTCTGGTATATGGTCGCTTGCGTGCGCGTCGCCTTGCAAAACAGCACATACTCCGTCTTCGGAGGGAGATATTTAGCCAGTATATCGGCTGTTCTTCGCAGCATGAATTTGGAGGTGAGCTCTCGTAGCTCCTCATTCCTCGCCTCTCCCTTCTCTATGTCCTTTCTAGTCGCCTCGGGCTGTCGGCTCTTGACGATCGGACCCTCGAATTCCCTAACAAACGACTTGAAAGTTCCCAAGACGCCGGGATTGACAAGGTCTACCGCGGCAAAGAACTCCTTCAAATCGTTCTGAATGGGCGTACCGGATAAAATGATTCGCTTTGTCGCATTCAGGGACTGGATAGCTTGGCCACTCTTGTTCTGAAGCGTCTTCAGTCTGTGACCTTCATCGGCAACAATGATGTCGACCCCGTTGCTGTTGGCTAACCCTTCTTGCACCGACCTGAGCTTTTCATATCCCACAATCATCACACTGTAAGCCCTTCCCCTCGTAAAATCGGTGAGTCGTTTTCTCTTGTCATCGAAGACAAAAACTCCAATTCGTTCGTTTCCAAGCCACTTACGAAATTCTTTCCTCCAATTATTGATCAGAGTAACCGGACAAACAATGAGAGCCTTCTTAACGACCGGGGGGCTGTCATATACTGGATTTTGCTTCAGAAGTGTCCACAAGAGGGTTATGGTTTGCAAGGTCTTCCCCAATCCCATATCATCTGCTAAAATAGCTCCTTCACCGTTGAAAGACCTCATTCCCATAACACATTCATACAAGAACTGAACACCCTCGCGTTGATGAGGTCGCAAATGTTTAGCCAGAAACGGATCGACGACAACATCAACAATTTGTTTCCCCTTTGGCACCGAATCCGGCCGTTTCATGACCAGCGCTCCAGGCTGACTAGGATCATGGCGCGGAACCGGCTTCTCCAAAGGTGTGGGTGGCAAAACAGTGCTTTCCAACAACGGCTTCTTGTACGTGCCAGTGACCGTTCCTTTCCTCGAGGCAGGGTTGGCGAGCGTTGGTACATTAGGCTTTGCAGGTTGACTCTTAGCAACAGTCGTCGAAGCAGAAGTACCAGTACTGCTTCGAACAGGAACGAATGCTTTAGTAGGCGGTGTTGTCGAAGGAGGTGGCGCCTTTTTCGCTTGCAGGTACTGACGACCAGACAAGTACTCTTTCTTAGACATTTCGGAATCGACTTCCACTTCCTTGCCTCCGATCGATAGCATAACACCGGGTTCGAGGCGGGAGCCATACATCACCCGTCCCATGTCTCTTCCGGAAACATCCTGCAAGTAGGCGTAGCCATCGCGTATTGTCAGGACACCGTCGCCATCCCACGTTTTATTTTTCTTCGTAGTGACTTTGCGCCTTCACAGCTCGTTAGCCTTTATAGCTATCATCTAAGGACCGAATAGAACAAGATAGACTGCACGTACCATAGGACATTGAAATACCTATCTCCAGTGACATCGCGAGGGCTTACTGATTCCGCTGAGGGTTCCACATCCTTTTTGAGTTGAGTTACAGGCCTCACCGATCGTCCAGCGGCCGGAGTGGTGTTCTCAACATCTGCCGGATATTCTGGCTGTAAACGCGGCTTCTTAGCGGGAGGGCCGTCGGCCTCGGAAGTTTCAGTTGGCACAGCTGGTCTTGACACGGTAGGCTGAAGGGGCTTCCTCATAGAAGGAGGCTTGAAGGGCCTGAAAACCATCACGATTGATGGTTCCTGGGCTTTTTGCTGGACAGTTGTACTGTGGAGGTGATGAGTCTTTTCTGCTGCACGCGACAGCCTCGAGACGCGCGGGTGTCGCGACATCACGTGACGATACAGTGCTTATTGCCTATTACGGCAGGAAGGCATGCCGCGCCTTGTAAAGTGTATATGTTATAGCATCTACACTGTCTACATTGGATTGAAACTTTGGAAACTTTGGAAAGTTTCTGACATGATCTTTGGTTGCTGAGCACGGTGTTTTTCCACCTACGGAGGTCAACGCATTGTATCCGAACCGGATCAGTGTCAAGATTATATACAGCTCATGAATATTATTCTAGATATATTTGCGTCAAATAGAGCACAGCGTTAAGTAATAGGCCAACAATATTGCTCGGTCTGATACGCCTTATGTTCATAAGTCAAAACATCATCCTAATCTAACAACGCTTAGTCCGCGTCGGCCACAATCACCTTGTCGGTCATAGGAATAGACTTGGGCCCCTCATAGGTGTTCATGCGGAAAAGCCACCAGACAGCCACGAAGATCGTCAAGCCTCCAGTCATCAGACTGGCGTAGTTCATCGAAGCGGCATCAGTGGGCAGGGCGTAAGGGAAACAGAAGATCACAACAAAGGCAAGAATGTAGATGCATGCCAAGAGGTTGACAAGATATCCGATACGACCCATCCAGAAATGACCAGGTGCGAACGAGGACCGGCGAGTGAGCATATGCGGAAAGATGGCGGCGAAATATGAGAGACTGGACAGCTGCACGAAACAGCCAACGAAAGCGTTAAAGGCAGTGGTGGATCCGACGTAGATGCAAGCAAGAATAGTGACAATGCCACCGCATACCAGCGTAGCATTGAAGGGGTTGTGCATCCGCGTGTTGATATGTCCGAGCCAGCGAGAGAAAGGAGTTGCTCCGTCACGAGAGATAGTCCACAAGGTGCGACCAGCAGTGATGTAGCAACCAGCGCAAGTGATGACTGTGGGTATGAAAGCCACGATAAGCAGACCGATTGCACCGCCCCTGGATCCTGTTGCTTGACGGTAAATCTCGGCAAGGGGGAATCCGTAGACGCTATTGATGACTGCGTCGAGATCGGTGATTGAATAGAAAATGGCCATCATGTAGAAGATACCGGTGATGAAGCCGACGCCCATCTGAGCCAGAACAGCTTTGGGAATGTTACGGCTCGGCCTGTTTATCATTAGTATACCAAAGATATTA